AGGGTGAAGCGGCCGCCAGGTTCTCCGCCTGTCTTCAAGGCTCGTTACGTTGCTAGAGGCTTCAGTCAGCGTCAGGGGGTCGACTTCTTCCAGACCTTCTCCCCCACCCCGAAGATGACCACTCTTCGGGTTCTGCTGCACGTTGCTGCTCAGCGTGACTACGAGCTTCACTCTCTTGACTTCAGCACAGCGTTCCTGCAGGGCAGCCTGCACGAGGAGATCTGGCTGCGCCGCCCACCTGGCTTTACTGGGTCGTTTCCCCCTGGTACCCAGTGGAGTCTCCGCCGGCCAGTCTACGGTCTCCGCCAGGCGCCACGTGAGTGGCACGACACACTGAGGACTACTCTTGCGGCTCTTGGGTTCGCGCCGTCTACTGCTGACCCGTCGCTGTTTCTGCGCACAGACACGTCGCTGCCGCCGTTCTACATTCTCGTGTACGTCGACGACTTGGTCTTTGCTACTGCTGACACTGAGGCACTCGCTCGTGTGAAGTCGGAGCTGCAGAAGAGACACACCTGCACTGACCTGGGTGAGCTGCGTAGCTACCTTGGCTTGCAGATCACCCGGGACAGAGCTCGCCGCACCATCACCCTGACTCAGTCACACATGGTGCAGCAGGTCCTTCAGCGCTTCGGCTTCCAGTTCTCCTCACCACAGGCCACACCTCTGGCTACCAGCCACTCGCTCTCAGCTCCACCTTCGGACGAGTCCGTAGAGCCGAGTGGCCCGTACCCAGAGCTTGTAGGCTGCCTCATGTACCTGATGACTTGCACGCGACCTGACCTCGCGTACCCTCTTAGCATCCTTGCTCGTTACGTTGCGCCTGGGAGACACAGGCGAGAGCACTGGGAGGCTGCTAAGAGGGTGCTGCGTTACCTGTGCAGTACATCAGGCATGGGGCTGGTGCTTGGAGGACGCGACAGAGTTGTCCTCACTGGTCACTCGGACGCCTCTTGGGTGGACGACCTGGCTACGCAGCGGTCGTCACAGGGTTACACCTTCAGCCTTGGCTCAGGTTCTGTCTCGTGGCGGTCCACCCGCTCTTCCTCTGTTCTCAGCTCTAGTTGTGAGGCTGAGATCTACGCCACAGCCATGGCTGCACAGGAGTTACGCTGGCTCACCTACCTGCTGACTGACTTGGGAGAGCGGCCTAGTTCTCCTCCAGTTCTGTACGGTGACAACAAGGCGGCTCTTGCCTTGTGTCAGGAGCACAGACTGGAGCACAGGACGAAGCACATTGCTCTTCGCTACTTTCTTGCTCGAGAGCTTCAGCAGCGCGGTCAGCTTCGGCTTGTGTACGTGGACTCGAAGGCCAACACTGCTGATATCTTCACCAAGGCGCTCCCGCCTAGTGATCATCAGCGGCACTGTTCTTCTTTAGGCCTTGTGTCCACGTTTCCTCACTTGCTCACTGCTTGACATTCTTTGTACTGTACTTTATATATATCTTGTTGCTTGCTTGCTAGGTTTTGATCACTGTGTTGCTTGTCTTGTACTATATCTAGCACTGCATGTGAACTGGCCTTGTGGCCTTTACTTGTGCTCGGAGTGTGGTGACGTTGTGATCCACCCTGGGCTTTGTTTTGCTTTGCTGGACTGGTCTTGTGACCCTTTGTTCTCCCCCACTTTGCCTATGGGGGTGTGTTAAACTGTATTATGCTTGTAGGCTGTAGTGGGGTAGCCAATATGGGGTACAACCCCAACTAGGGTTTCATATTTGTACCCAAACTCCTGTTAGTTCATCCATTCTTGCCTAGTAATTCTGACACCATGATCCTCTTGCTTGGCTCCTGCTTGCATGAGAAGTTCCGCCACGTACTTTTGACCGCTTGAGTCGTGAGAAGGTTCATGAGCTGACGCGTTCCAGATGGCAAGAGCTCAGCGCTCGAAATGTCAGTGCTCGAGCAGCTCTGCCCACGCCCCGTTATTTATTCACGTCGACTGTTCAGAACACGTTCGGAACATTTTAAAAAACGACGAACACGAGCAGGATCCGATCGGCGCCGTCGATCTTGTCGGTTTGAGCAGCAACGAGCTCGAAAACTCGAACAAGAGCTGTGAAAACAGTGAATCAAACTGAGTTTGAACTGCACCGTCACTCCTTATTGGCTGAATCTCCTAACCCCTTGATCGCTTGATAATAACCGACTCGCCCCAGCACTGCAGAAGTGACTGTTGCACTCTACAGGATAAAAATCGCCTGATTGATATACAGAAAATCAACTCTGTATTAAATTTGAATTAATGTCTTTTATATATATATATATTGAAGTTGATCCTTTGATAGTTCACAGTTGGTATTGTAATCCTACTACTTATCGTAATATCAATACTCTTTTTGAGATGCTCTCATAATTCGTTGATCAAATCCCTAACAAAAAAAAAAGATATTAATTTAAGATTTCAACATAGATCTCAATTCTATATCACAGCCTCGGAATCAGAGATATTTTTCGAGACAAGGCTTCATGCAATCTGGACTTGAACATACAATAGTAAATAGTACATGTATGCTGCATATTGTCTAGGCTGTAGTGGGGTAGCCCATATGGGGTACAGCCCAATTAGGGTTTACTACTTGTACTCCTGCATGCTGCTAGTTCATCATTCCTGCTGCTAGATTCTAACATGGTTTCAGAGCACTAAGGTCCGTAGGACCGTTTTTTTTTTTTTCGGGCCCACCTACCGCTGCGGTTACCGCGCTACCCCACGTACCTGCCTGCCTTGCCTTGTGACGTGCTGCACTATGCGCGCCGTCCAGCAGCCCTAGCGCTGCCTCCTGCTGCCCTAGGCTCGCGCGCCGCCCCTACAGGCCCTTCAGGCCCGCGAACCGCCCCTACAGGCCCGTCAGGCCCCCTGCTGCTGCGCGCTGCCCGCACCGAGCCCGCGCAGCCCGCGCCGAGCCGCGCGCAGCCCGCTGCTGCCGCGCGCTGCCCGCACCGAGCCCGCGCAGCCCGCGCCGAGCCGCGCGCAGCCCGCTGCTGCCGCGCGCTGCCCGCACCGAGCCCGCGCAGCCCGCGCCGAGCCGCGCGCAGCCCGCTGCTGCCGCGCGCAGCCCGCGCCGAGCCCGCGCAGCCCGCGCCGAGCCGCGCGCAGCCCGCTGCTGCCGCGCGCAGCCTGCGCCGGGCCGCGCGCGGCCCGCTACTGCCTCGCGCGGCCCGCGCGCGGCCCGCAGCAGCCCGCGCCGAGCCGCGCGCGGCCCGCTACTGCCTCGCGCGACCCGCGCGCGGTCTGCAGCAGCCCAGCGCGCTGTCCGCGCAGCCTGCGCCGAGCCGCGCGCGACCCTCTTCTGCCTTGGCCCCGCCCTGCAGCTGCAACGGCCCCAACCTGCCGCTGCCACAGCCCCGACCTGCCGCTGATGCGGCCCCGCCCTGCAGCTGCCGCGACCCCGACCTGCCGCTGACGCGGCCCCACCCTGCGACTGCCGCTGAAGCGGCCCTACTCTGCAGCCGCTGTTGCGGCCCCGCTGTCACCGCCGTCGTACGCCTACCCGGCCGCCGCCTGCTGAGCGCCGGCCCTGCTCGGCCGCCGAGCGCCTGCCCTTTCCAGCCTTTGGTGAGCACCTGCCTGCCTGCCTGCCTGCCTGCCGGCCTGCCTGCCTGTCTGCCTGCCGGCCTGCCTGTCTGCCTGCCTGCCTGTTGGCCTGCCTGCCTGCCTGTCTGCCTGCCGGCCTGTCTGCCTGCCGGCCTGCCTGTCGGCCTGCCTGTCTGCCTGCCTACCTGCCTACCTGCGTGCCGGCCTACCTGTCTGCCAGCCTGCCTGTCTGCCTGTCTGCCGGCCTGTCTGTCTGCCTGCCGCGCCTGCCCGAGCTGCCCGAGCTGCTGCTACTACTCCTGCTATTAGCAGGTGGCCAGATGCAGCTCCAGCGTCGTTCCCGCGAGTCTCTCACGCCCCAGCAGCTTGATGAGTGGTATACTAGTTGGGGCTGTCGAGGTAGCCGTCGTAGCAGTCGCCCTGGAGCTGGTCAGTTGGGGGCGTCTGGCAGTGGCCAGCTGCAGCTGCAGGGGCGTCCACGCGAGACACTTACGCCCCGGCAGCTCCAGGAGTGGTACGCTCAGTGTAGCAGGTCTTCGCGTACCGTTCGCTGCCCGTACGTCATTCGCACAGGTGTTAGGACTGGTCAGCCTTGTGGGACGCTTGGTCACACACCGTCCCGCTGCTTCGCCCGTCTGAGCGACGCCTGGCGTACCGTGTTTGGCGACGAGGCTGAGCTCCCTACCTGGGTGGAGCTGCTTGGACAGAGGGTAGATATCTTTGCTCTTGACTATGATGCTATTCTCACTGCCATGTATGCATTGCCTACTAGTGTTGACCGTGCCTGTTACCTGTGCGTACCGCCTGACCCTGGTATAGCGCCTGCTGCTCTCGGTGCTCTTGCGTCTCCTGCTCTCGGTGCTGGTGAGGCTGCTGCTCTAGGTGCTAGTGTGTCTCCTGCTCTAGGTGCTGGTGAGGCTGCTGCTCCAGGTGCTGGTGAGTCTGCTCTCTCTGGTACTGCGCCTGCTGCGGTCTTGCACACCTTCACCCTTGACTCAGGAGCTTCCCGCTCCTTCTTTCGCGACTGCACCACACTCACGCCGCTTAGTCGGCCAGTTCCAGTCTCCCTGGCGGACCCCTCTGGGGGTCCAGTCCTTGCCCACTACTCCACGGTTCTGCCGTGTCTGGCCGCCCGGTCTGGCTCGCTGTCAGGTCTTTACCTCCCCTCGTTCTCTACGAACTTGGTGAGTGGAGCTGACCTTCAGGATAAGGGGGTTCACCAGTTCACTCCTGCGAGTCAGCGAGTGACTCACTGTACGTGTGCTCGGACGGGCCGGCACCTGGCTACAATTACCCGTGCGCTCGGCTCGAGTCTGTACACACTGACCACTGCGTCCCCTCAGGTGGCTGCGTCTGCGTCTGCGTCAGGTCAGCTGGCGGCCCCCTGCGAGTGTCGCGCTTTGTCGCACGACACTCTCCTGTGGCACCACCGCCTTGGTCACCCCTCCCTGCCTCGTCTTCGTAGCATGCACTCTCGCTCCCTGGTCTCTGGTCTTCCCAGGTCTCTACCTGCCCTCCCTCCCTCGCCTGCGCCGCCCTGCATTCCTTGTGTCGAGGGGCGGCAGCGCGCCGCTCCTCACTCCTCCTCGTTCCCTCCCACAGAGGCTCCCCTGCAGACTCTCCACCTGGACGTGTGGGGCCCAGCCCGCGTCCTTGGACAAGGCCACGAGCGGTACTTCCTGCTGGTCGTCGACGACTACACGCGTTACACCACGGTCTTCCCCTTGTGCACCAAGGGTGAGGTCCCTTGGATCCGCACTGTTCGTCTCCAGCTCCGCGAGCGGTTCCGGTCGGACTTTCCTGTCCTGCGTCTGCACTCTAACAGAGGTGGTGAGTTCTCCTCCGACCTCTTGGCAGCCTACTGTGCGGAGCACGGCATCCGTTAGACGTTCACGCTTCCGGCCTCTCCGCAGCAGAATGGGGTTGCTGAGCGCCGCATTGGCTTAGTCATGGAGGTCGCTCGTACCTCCATGATCCATGCGGCTGCCCCCCATTTTCTGTGGCCGTTTGCGGTCCGGTACGCCGCGCATCAGCTTAACCTCTGGCCCCGTGTCTCCTTGCCGGAGACCTCGCCCACACTGCTGTGGACGAGGGAGGTTGGCGATGCGTCGCGTTTCCGGGTCTGGGGTGCCCGTGCCTTTGTCCGCGATACCACCACGGACAAGCTCTCCGCTCGCGCCGTTCCCTGTGTCTTGCTTGGCTTTGTCCCTGACGCGCCTGGTTGGCAGTTTTACCACCCCACCTCGCGCCGTGTCTTTGCGTCTCAGGACGTCACGTTCGACGAGTCGGTTCCCTTTTACCGTCTCTTCCCCTACCGCACTGCCCCTCTCCCCCCCCCGCCGCTCTTCCTCGCTCCAGGTGCTCCCCAGGTAGACCCCCTCCCCGCGCCAGGTCCTGCTCCTTCAGGTGTGTCTCAGGTAGACCCTCCTCCCTTGACTGTGCCGGTTGAGGTCATTGGTGACTCAGGTCCTGCTGAGGGTGGTCCTGCTCGGGGTGTTCCTTCTGGGGGTTCTGAGCCTGGGGGTGCGGAGCCTGGGGGTGCTGAGCCTGGGGGTGCTGAGCCTGGGGGTGTGGAGCTTGAGGGTGTGGAGCCTAGAGGTGCTGAGCCTGAGTGTGAGGAGTCTGGGGGTGCTGGCGCTGGAGGTTCTGGAGCTGCTGGAGGTCCTGGTGCTGGTGGCGCTGGAGCTGGTGGTTCTGGGGCTGCTGAGGGTGCGGGCGCTGGAGGTTCTGGAGCTGCTGAGGGTGCGGGTGCTGGAGGTTCTGGAGCTGCTGGAGGTGCTGGCGCTGAGGGTACTGGCGCTGAGGTTGCTGGCGCTGAGGGTGCTGGCGCTAAGGGTTCTGAGTCTGCTGTTGCGCGGTCTCCTTGGAGTGGCCGCCTTCGTCCCCGTGTGCCTCTCACCTCCCAGTAGCTGCACGACTGGTACGGTCGCCGTTAGGGTCGCGCGTCTGGAGCTAGGGGCTCTCCTACTGGAGGTCCTTCTGCTGCCGTCTCTGGAGCTGGGAGAGGTGCTGGTCCCGGAGGTGCTCGTACTGGGGGTACTGGAGCTGCTGGGGCTGGAGGTGCTGAGCCTGTCAACGGGAGTTGTATGTTGGCCCCGTCCTCGCTTGGGCGGAGCCGACTTCGTGGTCGGGTGTAGGGTGCAGCCGACCTGCAGCAGTGGGCGAGTTGGTCGACAAGGTTGGTCGACCTGCACGGGGAGCCACTGCATGGGCGCCGACTTCGGGAGGGCGCCAACTTCGGGTGGTCGACCTAGGAAGTCGACCAGACCTTCTGGTCGACCTGGGAAGTCGACCAGCCCTTCTGGTCGACCTGGGAAGTCGACCAGCCCTTCTGGTCGACCTGGGAAGTCGACCAGCCCTTCTGGTCGACCTGGGACGTCGACCAGCCCTTCTGGTCGACCTGGGACGTCGACCAGACCTTCTGGTCGACCTGGTAAGTCGACCAGACCCTATAGTCGACCTGGTAAGTCGACCAGACCCTCTGGTCGACCAGGAGTGCCGTCAACTTGGAGCTGGTCGACCAGGGGATAGTGGTCGACCTGCAGAGGTCGACTGGAGGTGGCCGTCGACTTGGGAGGTCGACCGGCACGTACCAGAGGCAGTGGTCGACCTGGGAGGTCGACCGGAAGTGGTCGTCGACCTGGGTGGTCGACGGGCACGCACTGGAGCCTCTGGTCGACCTGGTTGCCCGGTCGACCAGGTTACCTGGGTGACGAGGTGCTGCGAAGGCTTGCGATGGTCGCCCAGGTGGTTTTGGCGAGGACGACCTCAGTGATGGTATCCCGAGGTCGACGTGGTGCATCAGAAGCAGTCGTCAGCACGAAGTTGATGTGGTGTGTGCGTTGTGCAGGTGACGAGGCACTGCACACCAATCATCTGCGAGCACCTGCGAAGTAGGTGCACTGCTGTCCTGCGGGAGCAACGTTGGCGCGCCGTCGACTTGCGCTGTTGTCACGCCGTCGACTTGCAGCGTTGGCAAGCCGCGACTCTGCACTGCTGGAGCGCGGTCGACCAAGTCGTGCTGGCACGCGGTCGACCGTGCTGCGCTGGCAGTCGTCCTGCTTGCATGCTAGCTCTGATGTAGTCTTGCCTTGCCAACTTCATTGTATCATTGTTGTCAACTTTCTCTAGTGAAACTCTTGCCAAATTGCCTTGTGAACTAGCAAGCAGTGTGTGCACTAGAAAAACGACTAAGGACCAACGAACGCAGAGATCACACGAGCACCTGTGCCTAGCCCGTAGTCTAGCTCCCGTTGTAGTAGTTATCTCCGCATGGTGCGGTGAGCGTGGAAGGCACCCGACTTACCTTTCAGTCTAGTCGACTTAGTAGGCACCTTACCTAAGTTGTTCGTAGGCCGGCAGCTGTGCGGTAGTCACTATGGTAGGCGCCGTAGGTGACACGGGGGTGGTGGACACCCTGGAGACACAGCCGGAAAACGCGAGGAGGAAGCACGAGGCCAACGAGTATGGCGACCTGCCGTGGGCGGTCGTCGAGGCTGGCATCCGTTCCTTGTGGGCGACGGAGCACCCTTCTCGGCCTGCTTCTCCTCGACCGGTGAACACCGAGGGCGGCGTCGACATGGGCGTCAACGCCGGTGGTGGCCAAGTCGGCAGCAGTGCGGGAGGCACGTCGAGGCAGCGTGGTGTGATTCACGCCGACGAAGTCGGCGGCGTTCAGGCGCGAGGGATGCGGTCGTCGGCGGCTGCAGGCTCCTCGCAGGGTGACGTCGGAGGTCGACGAAGCGGATTGACGCCGATGTCGGCGTCCCAGGTGACGGCGGGCGGAATTGCGCCGTGCTACCGCTTCTTCAAATTTACGCCGGATAGGATCTTGGTGACTCCCCTGCTGGTCGGTCGACCCGACATACTCACCTGGAAGGAGGCCATCGAGCCCCAGCTGGAGATGGCCGGGCTAATCAGCTTCGCTCGAGGTACCGTGGCGACGCCGAGCGACCCCGACTTGCGAGCTGAGTTCCGCGCTGTGCAGCTGTTGACCTTCACGGTCATCTCACGGTGCTGCTCGCCGGGCGTGCAGATCGCCTTGAAGTGGTGCCGGGAGTACCTCGACGCCGGCCACCAGGCGTGGCACTTCATCGAGTCGACCTACCAAGTCACCGACGACCTGTTCATCGCCCAACTGGAGGGGCAGCTGACACACCTGCGTATGGGCGACCAGGAGACGGCGACCGACTACTGCAACCGGGCCCGGCGAATTCTTGCCACCATCAGGATGGCCGGTGCGGAGTACTCGACGGCGTCGTACATCACCCATGTCATGCAGGGACTCCCGAGCAGCTACAACTTGCTGAAGCGGCTGTCCATGGCGCCGAGCACGCGGGCGACGCTCAACGAGGACACGTTGACCTCGTACATCCTGCAGGACGAGGCGATGCAGGAGGCTGAGCGGTCCCAAGAGCTTCTGGCGCAGGTGAACTACGTCGCCCCGGCGAAGCAAGGCGGTCGACCAGGGCAGCGTGGACAGTCTGGTGGCGGTGGTAGCAGTGGCTCGAAGTCGGCCAAGGAGGTCGACAAGAAGAAGTCGACCAAGGACAGCGGTCGAGGAGGAGGAAGTCGGCGTCGGGAATGCTGGATCTGCCACAGCCCCGACCACCTCTCCTTTGAGTGCCCCGACCGCAGCGAATCCGACGACGACGACGCCAAGGGAGGCCGCGGGAGGTCGGCCAGCCGTCGTCCACGTCGAGGCAACCAGCCGCGCAAGGAGAAGCAGTCGAACAAGTCGACCTCGGTGAAGGACGCCGACTCCTCTGCTGGCGGCAAGGGGAGCGACGACAAGTCGGCGTCGTGCTCCCTGGTCGGCGTCGTGGAGCCGACCGTCTCGCTGGCGCCGGAGGCTGGCGAGGACTTCCAGGCGGTGGCGGCGGCTGTGCAGGCGAACCCGGCGGTGGTCCTGCTCGACAGTGGCTGCTCTCACCACCTGATGGGGACGAAGGACGCCTTTGTCGACTTGGGACCGAGCGGCGACGTGAAGCACGTGCGTGGCTTCAATGGGGCGCTGCAGGACGTCCAGGGCCGCGGCACTGTCGCCCTGCAAGGCGAGGCCGGGAAGCAGGTGCTCATCCCCGACGTGTTGTACGTCCCGGGCGTGCATGCGAACCTGCTGTCGTCCGGCCAGCTGAAGGAGCATGGCGTGAAGCTGAAGGAGGATGGCGACGGGATGCTGCTCGTCTCGGCGACGGGAGAGGTGCTCGGTCGGGCGACGTACTCCGGGCGAGTCCTCTGCACCGACCTGCGCCCCTGCTCTACGAGGCCGACGTCGACCACGCTGGAGGTCGTGGCACTGCGGGCGATCGTCTCCAAGACAAAGTCGACGCCGGACAGGATGCACGCTCGGCTTGCGCACGTCAGCATGGACACCATCCGGAGCTCGGCGAAGAACGAGGTCGCCATTGGGCTGGACCTCAAGTCGGCGACGGGCGCCGACTCACCGTGTGTCTCGTGCGTCAGCGGGAAGCTGGCGCGGCACACCTTCCCCGACCAAGGCTCCGACGCCGCCGACTTGCTAGCCGTCGTCCACATCGACTTGTGCAGGCCCTTCCGGGTGGCTGCCAAGGATGGCAGCCTGTACTTCTTGCTGCTGAAGGACCGTAAGTCCCGCTACGTGTGGGTGAGGCCGGTCGCCAAGAAGTCGGATGTGCTGCTGGAGTTCCAGAAGTGGCTGGTGCTGGTGGAGAGGCAGACGAAGAAGTCGGTGCTGATGTTGCGCTCGGACCGGGGCGGGGAGTTCCTCGGGAAGCAGTTCACCGACTTCGTGGATGGCAAGGGGATCGTCCACGACCTGACCTGCCCGTACACTCCGCAGCAGAACGGCATGGCGGAGCGGGAGATGCGGACGGTGGTGGAGTCGGTGCGGACGATGCTGCTGCACATGGGCGTGCAGCACCACTGGTGGCACCTCGCTCTGCGGCAGGCCGTCTGGATCCGCAACTGCCTGGAGCGGTCGGCGACGCCGGGGACGACGCCATACCAGCTGCTGACCGGGACGAAGCCCGACCTGTCGCTGGCGCGAGTGTGGGGCTGCATGGCGCAATTCCTCGTCCCCGAGCAGCAGCGCGGTGGGAAGCTTAAGCCGAAGGCCAAGTGGGGCCTTCACCTCGGCGTGTCGGAGGCGAGCAAGGGCTGGGAGCTCCTCGACATTGCCGCCAACCGGGTGGTCACCACGTCGGACGTGGTGTTCTACGAGGACCTGTCACTGGAGGAGTGGAAGTCGGAGCATGGGCCGGTGTCGGGGCGGACGCTGGTGGCCACGCCAACGGATACCTCGACGGCAACCCTCCCTCTGCTCGCCGAGGTCGGTGAGCTTGCTGGAGACGACGCCGAGGTCGTCCACCCTTCCTCCCCCTCCCCTGCCACTCCCCTCGTCGACCTGCGTGGGCTGACTCCGCCGTCGGCCTCCGGCGATGAGGGGAGCAGTGGGACGTCGCCTGTGCCTGTGGCGCCGACCAAGGGCATCGCCGGTGGCCGACGGGACGTGCAGCAAGTCGACATGGTCGACGGGGAACGGAGAAGGGCAGGTCGAGGAGGTGCAGCCGACTTGGGTGAAGCCGACAGGGGAGCAGGCAGCAGCGCGGTCGACCAAGGAGCAGTCGGCGACCTGGCAGTCGGCAGGGGAGCTGACCGCAGGGGAGAAGTCGGTCGGGACGCCGACCGAGGTGCATCAGGATGACGACGAAGCCAGTGAAGATGAAGGGGAGCAGTTGGGCGACGAGGAGCCCGTCGACAGTGACGCCGAGGAGGTTCAGCCTGGACCACGGCGCACAGGTCGACTTCGGAGGCCTCCCGACTTCTTCATCCCGGCCGCCTTCACCACGGTCTATGACGTGGTCGACAAGGACTACGACCTGCTGTACGACGACGCCGACGAGGATGAAGAGTTTCCGGAGCTCGACCC